GTCGGTGATTCACACTGGGTTCGATTCCCAGCAACGACAATCCATTATTTTATTTTTTTTTAAAAAAAAATAAAAAGATAAGTTGTTTCGGTGTTTCTTTTCTCGTCCTCGGTGTCTCGTTTCTTTTTTCGTCGTTGGTGTCGTCCAGTTTGGTGCTTTCCTTCGTTTCTGGTGTCGTCTAATTTGGTGTTCTTTCTTGTAACGTGGCTTCTTTCGTCGTTGGTGTCGTCCAGTTTGGTGTTTTTCTTTCGGCTCTGGTGTCGTTCAATTCAGTGTTTCTTGTAATGCGGTTTTTTCTTTGTCGTAGGTTCGGTGCTTTTTTCTGTGATACAGTCTTTTCTTTCGTCGTTGGTTGTGCTTTTTCAATGTTGGGTTACGCGTACAGCTAAGTATTTCTTCCTTTTTTTTTTTTTGGGTTCAGTTTTATTTTCGTATCAGTACTAACTCTTCTTTTCTGGTATTGAATCGTTCACCGTCGCCGTGTTTAGCTTTTTGGTGCTGTTAATTGGAATACTTCCGTTGTTGGTGTCGAGTTTTGTTGCTTATATTTGGTTGTACTGGTGTGATTCACTACGACGTCGATATCTTGAATAGGCGTTAATTGGAATATTTACCATCATTTTATGACGTGGCATTCTGTTTGCTGTGTTTGTGTGATTCTTGTTGAATTTTTAGCTTTGTAAGTTGTAGTTGGGTTCTAGCGTTAGGAAATTGGTTTTAAGGTTAGGGTTAGAACTGGATTAATATTAAGTTAAGCGTTTAGGAAAAAAGAGCAGGGTGAGCGAAGTGAACCCTGTAAGTATTGCTGAGCGTAAACGAAGCAACACAAATATAAAGTGGTGTATGGGAATGTATGGCTATGCATAAATAGTGTTGAATCTGAATATATCTTGAAAATATGATTTTTGATTTTACATGATAACCAAAAAAATTTTTAGTTTTTTTTAATACTTTCGAACTTTGATAAATAAATAATAAATTTCGTAATTTATAAGACCATTGTTGAACAACGAGTCTCAAATGCTTGAAAACAAAGCCCCATATTTTATCGTTGAGCTTTCGTCGTATCCTGGACAAGATCATGGTTCGAACCACCTATAAAAAAGAAATAACATCTAGTGATTCTGGCCAAAACTAATTTTCAGTTTAGCTGCGTTGATTTTTTCAAAATTTTTGCTGATCAAATAATAATTCGCACATAAAATTTTGTTTATTGCAAAGTTATTATTTTAATTTTATTGCAAATATCAAAGATTTATCATAATAGATTAATTTAGTCAGTACTCAATTTTGCTTTAGTCACATAATTACTTGTGGAGGATTTCTATTGGCTGATATATTAAAAAAATTTTTTCAGATTCTCATCTACTGACCCGGAATTTGCATGGTAATGTAGGAAATATTATTAAGATACATATTAAGATATAGATATATAATATGCTACTTTATTTTTGATTAATGCATTTTATTTTATCAAAAAAATTTTTTTTCAAAAAGCATTGAATAACGTATATTCTTGAAAGATTACTTATATCTGTCAAGATAAGCTATAATGTATCTGACTAATACCGTAAATGGTCACATAGAAGGCCCGGGTATGTACATTATACCGATTAAAAAACTTGAATTATACCCGGTGAGTATATTGTTCGGAGGAGGGTATAATAATAGATAGATTTCTTCTTGTTAAATATATACCTTCTTTACTGTATTTCGCTGCGTAAATCACTGATGATAATAGACCAGGGTCTGATACTTGGGTTAAATTTGAAAGGTAAAAAGTAAGAGACCAGAGTCTATAACATTATTTATATCACACCAACATACAATATATGGTGTTGTTAGGTTTTACAGCAATAGCCTCCTTCCTTACAGGGTCTAAATCAGTTTTTTGATGGGCTTAAGAGACCCCGGTATAAACTAGATATCAGAATAGAAATATGCCGTATAACTTGTCCAGAAATTTGATTGGGTGCTGTCAACGGACATGATTTGGCGAAATACAGTAGTGTCCTCCGCTATCGCTACGCTTCGGACAATTACATTTAAAAAATAAACCTCGCTTCGAGTATTTTGTTGTCATGACGGATTAATTCTTCGATCATTGAATCCTACAAAATAAAGTCCAGATTATGTCTGTATCACTGTTGTCATGAATCATCTGAACTCTAGCGTAATCCGCTACAACTATTATTAAATTTTTAAATAAAAAATTGTAGCTGATTGATTACTAGTAATGAAAACTTGCTGAGGTTAGAAAATGAGAGCGGTTAATTGTTACATACATCAGCCTATAAAAAAGTGATGCATAATTATTTTTTTTAAATATATCACGAAATTAAAAGTGTTAAAAAAATTGTTGACCAATATAAAATATAAAATGGTTTTTTTTTTACAGTTGGAAAACGAACTTTACCAATGCTGTCATTTTCCACAGGTGTAAAACCATATTTTTTTTAAATGCAGAGTGGCAAATATTGTATGAGTTACTGTAATTTGTACTACATTGACCCAGATCAATGAATCAAATTTCGTAACACTTTATAAGTTAATATAAATAAATGACAATCATTTTTTTTATACGTACGTATTTATTTCATGCATTTTTTTTAACGTTAATCGCGCGTATCTGATAATCCTATACTCACGGGTTATATAAGTATATTGAACACAAAAATGGCTTCTAATGAAAATTCAAGCTTAATATCTAAATTTATGAGGTAATACATTTTAGATGTTTCTTTTGAAACTACAAACATATTCGAACATTACTAAATGAATGCATGATTAATTGTAAATTCTTAATATTTTTTTTTATAATACATAAGCTATTGGAATTCATTTCAGAGTCACTATGCTCCTATACAAACTCGTACTCGTAGCACGACTCATCATTACACTAATAATTTCTCTCGAATACGGAGGACTCTGCTTGATACAACTGCAAAGTTTAATAATCGAGATGATAAAGCATTTGAGGAAATTAAAAGATACGAAGATTTTACGACAATTGGTATTTTGTTTTAATTTTTCTCATAAAAATAGTTAATTGTGATAATTGTAATTGATGAATTTTATTTATTATTATAGATTGGGTTCAAGATGCTATCTATGAACGATCGAGAATGAATGCATTACGAAGTGCCGCAATAGAAAATAGGTTTTCATGGAATACTTGGTTTCGTCTTTCTTACGAATCAAGTCAAGCTTGGATCGTTGTGTCAATAGTTGGTTTGTATCTTTATTTTAGTTTATTTATTCTATAATTTAATTTTATTAATCATTATTTTTCCTTGTTATTTAGGTGCAATTATCGGGTTTAATGCGGCATTAACTGACATTATCACAGAATGGCTTTCAGATTTAAAATTTGGTTATTGCAAGAATTCTTGGTGGTTAAATCAAAAGTTTTGTTGTTGGGAGATTGAGAAGCCAGGTTAGAATCCCTTTTGAGTACAATTTTAAATTATTTTTTATTATACTACTTAGTGATGTGAGATGGCATTTTGATTTTTTTTTCCAAAAGATGGTTCATGTGATAATTGGCAAAATTGGACAAACATCTATATTATAAATTGGTTCTTTTATGTATTAGTCTCGGTAATGTTTTTCAAATATTTTATCATAACTATTTTTATTCATCAGAAACATAATCTTTTTTTTTTTTTTTTTTTAACAAGGCGCTTTTTGCAGCTATTTGCGCTTATCTGATACGCGTTTTAGCTCCTTATGGGGCAGGTTCTGGTATTTCTGAAATAAAATGTATTTTAGCTGGGTTCATCATGAAAGGATTTTTGGGTGGTCGTACTTTACTGCTGAAAAGTGTGAGCTTGGTAAGTTATTCTTCTTTATCGTGTAAAAGCTATAGTTTCTCTATTTTACTCTATGGATTCTACGTACATGTACGATTATATTTTCATTCATGTGTCTATTATATTTTCATTTGTGTCTACAATATTAGCCTTTGGCAATTGGGTCAGGACTAAGTATCGGAAAAGAAGGTCCCGCGGTGCATACTGCCGCTTGTGTTGGAAATGTTGTTTCAAAAATGTTTGGAAAATATACCAGAAACAAAGGTATGTTATGTATTTATTGATTATATTTTTAGTATAAAAGAGTGATCGTAATACTTTTTTTCAATGGTAGCCAAAATGCGTGAAATTTTGTCCGCCTCGTGCGCGGCTGGTGTTGCTGTCGCTTTTGGTTCTCCGATTGGTGGTGTCTTGTTTTCATTCGAAGTAAGAAAAAATTTATACATTTTGAATATTTTATTATCAAATGGTAACATTATCTATCATGATTCTAGGAAATGAGCTCAAATTTTCCTATGAAAACTATGTGGCGTAGCTTTTTTTGTGCTTTAGTAGCAACTGCTGTTTTACAGGCCATGAATCCTTTTAGAACTGGAAAACTTGTCATGTTTCAAGTCACTTTTGATAGAGAATGGCATTATTTTGAAATTTTCTTTTTTGCAATATTGGGTGCATTTGGAGTAAGTGATATCTTTTACGTAAAACTATGTAGTTTTATTACTTAAAATTATATAGATATATTATTAACTCTATATCTATCTATCTGTATTTATATATTTGTATAGGGTTTATACGGCACATTAGTCACAAGATTCAATATTAAGGTTCAATATTTTAGGAAAAAGTACTTAAAAGATTATGCAGTGACTGAAGCAGTTATACTTGCTGTAATTACAGCAATATTCGGTTATCTTAATATATTTATGAAATTAGACATGACTGAAGCTTTGGGAATCCTTTTTGAGGAATGTGAAGGGAAGAAACATTATGATTATGAAGGTCTTTGCAAGTAGGTTTGACCCCTAGGTTATTTTCACTTGAAAATTTTGCGGTAGAGGGCCCTATCCATTTCATTTGTAAATGTTTCTTAATTCTCGTAAATATTGTTATAATGTGGCCTTCCCTTCTTATTCAAAGAAACTCGGATTTTTCGAAAGGATCAGAAATTGTTAGAATGATGGTACTATTATTGATAGCAACCATTCTTCGAACTTTTTTCATTATAATATCTTATGGAGCAAAAGTACATAATGTCAAATCTCATTTAAGAATCATATTATGTATAATTTATCTTCACTAATTAAAACTACACAAACATTTTAGGTTCCTGCCGGAATATTTATCCCTTCAATGGCCGTAGGTGCTACTTTTGGAAGATTTTTTGGTCTTTTATTGAAATCCCTTCACGCGTAAGTCTTATTTAAATACTTTTATTATACGATTTTGCAACATATTGATTTATCCAAATATTTGATAGCGCATATCCTACATTTCCAATGTTTACATATTGTAAACCGGATGTACCAGTAAGTAATAATGGCTATGTTTTTTATCCATTATCTTCATATCAATTATTAAACTTTATTATACCTAGTGCGTAACACCTGGAATGTATGCATTTTTGGGTGCTGCTGCTGCTTTAAGGTATGTAATTATGTAGTTTTAACCTTTGTATCAACATGTTAATATGTCAATAGTGCCAATATCATGCATAATATTTCTGTTTTGTTATTGCTATCGTCGCATAATTTACATAGCGGTGTTATGCAACTTACAGGTAGATATAATAAAAAATTATATTTTGCTTTAAAAATCACCAATAATAAAAAAACGTAATGATAAATACTTTATTATTTTTCAGTTTGTGTAGTTGTCATAATGTTCGAATTAACGGGGGCTTTGACATACATTTTGCCCACAATGGTATGGTTGATGATTCTTTATTATATATTTATTTATCATAATTATATATCATAATGTTTTATATTTATATGGACTATAGATTACTTTAATGATCACCAAGACTGTTTGTGATCTACTTGGAAAAGGAGGAATATATCCTTTATTATCATTATTATTTTTATTATTATTAAAATGTATTAATTATTCCTTGACTGAGATATACTGCTGACCAAATGATCCGGTTAAACGGGTTTCCATTTTTGGATAAAGAAGAGTATTCGTTTGGAGTCCCAGGTTTGATAGTCTGTAATAGTTATCATACAAATATTGAATATAATGTTTGAATTAATAGTGTTATTTAAAATATTCGCAGTATCTGCTGTTATGAGAAAGGATATAACTGTAATGACTGCTTCAGGCTTGAGATTGGATGAAATTGGTATGTTATTTTAAAAAAACAATTACTCTTTTTTAAGGCTCTTATTCTTACATTGTTTTGCTCTAGATCAAATTTTGCTGGAAACAAATTACCAAGGATTTCCTGTCGTACAAGATAAGAAGAATATGATGTTATTGGGATATATTGGTCGTATAGAATTAAAATATGCCATAGGTATAAAATTTTTTAAAAGTTTTTTTTTTTTTTAACTTTTGTTAAATTATTCAGACTTTAGTATTGATCTACGGGTTTCTCTTGAATGTTAGACAAAGCAAAGAGAGTCCGAGGAGCATCAAATAGTGCACATTGTTTTTTCAATCCTGAAGATACTAAATATATTGATAGCAGTGGTAGTGGTGAAGGATCGTCAAATTTCATCGATTTTGCACCTTTCATTGATCAGGTAATTATTTATAATAATAAGCCTATTATCTAGGTATTTTAAAAGTTTATGTACGAGTTTTTAATCTATTTTATTAGACACCTATCACGGTTCACCCACGATTACCACTCGAAACAGTGATGGATTTATTCAAAAAAATGGGGTATGTTTATATATACACATTGATACATTGATTCCTTTCGTGTTTAATATTAATATTTTCATTTTCTTATCAAAAATAGTCCACGTGTCATTTTAATAGAGCATGTCGGTAAGTTAGTGGGTCTTGTAACAGTGAAAGATGTGTTAAAATACATTGCTCAAAGGGATGCTGAAGCGCAGAGCAAAGATACTGATCATACAGATTCTAGTGATTTTATTGATGGAGATGGAAGGAATTTACGAAGAAAACGTAGTGTAATTTCATTATCAGAATTGGGAAAAAGGAATGAGCGTAATGAATAGAGTTTGAAAATGTACATTAGATTCACAGAATATGGGATGTTAGAATTAAAAAAGGTAGAATATATATCGATTTTTATTTAATTAAAATACTGTACTTTAGTGAAACTTTAGATTATAAAGAATATATATTTGATACAACATAACTTAAGATAATATATTTCTTCTAAAAGTAATATGAAAATAGTGAGACATATCTTGTTTTTTTCATCGTTATATGTTAGTCAGCCGATATATTTCTTAAAGAAAAAATTTTTGTGTTGCATTCAAATAAATTTAAAAATAATTGATGAGTCAAAGTAATCTATAATTATTTCTAGTTCGATTAAATTTTAAAAGTCCATTTTTATTCACTATTCTATATACCAATTTTATTTCTTAATCCTAACACTTACAAATAATTCTTTAGATAAATATTATTATTAGTATAAAAAATAATATTTGTATCCATAATTATTTTTGGCTAAAAAAATGAGTCTTTACTAAAATTTTGCAGTCTGCGAGAGTTATATATGTATATAATAGTCCAATTTTAGATCACACAAAGTTTTGAGGTGTATCTAACCCATTTTAATTATTTTCTGAGATAATATCACCTCGATATGAATATCCCAGTATAAATTAGAAATATTCGCATTATTAGTAATCAATATATTAAGTATTTTGGCTAATTTATTTATAAAAAAAACATATTTACGTGAAAATTGCCAAAGTTTGTCTTGTATATTGGGTTTGTCTATTATCGTTATAATTTTAGATTGATTATAATCTACTTAAAATATATAGCCTCAAAACTTCTTTTCTCGATTTTTCTTATAACCGTATAGACGCAAAATAATGCTCGTGCATTATTTTGAAAATTGGATTCTTTATAATAGCAGCAACATTTTAGTATAACCGAAATATTGAAGCAATGATCTAATTCTGTACGGCATTCATAAATCCATATAAACTTGGTTGGCAAACATATACTGTAACGATTTCATAATGATAATGGCAGAAATCTATTTATTTTGTAGATTAGGTTATTATGCAAGTGTAAATGTGCATTACTTTGGAAATTGATTTTACCCGAATTAACGCGCAGATCAATTAAATTATTAACCTTTTTCTTCATTCCTCGTCTAAGAAAGCCTCCACTTTATATTCCAACAATTTGGTGCAGTGATTTATGACGGAACTAGGTATATCAATAGTTGTGGACGAAATATCACAACCCTCTCTGTTCGCACAAGTCATATGAAGAAAGAATTAGCATAGATCATGTGATATGACCTGTAGAACAAAGATCACTTTTGCCAAGGAAACTAGTAGAACTAGTAGTTCTCATAGTTCTCGTAGAAATAGTTTTTATATTTTTTATATTATTTTTGTTATATCTATTAGTTAGATGTATATGTCAGTTATATTGGATCGCGTAAATTATCGGATAGAACTAATCCATTATAACTGATAAATAAATATCCAAATATCTTAATCGAAAAACATGTATAAATATCCTTTCGATTTCTCATTGGAAATCGACAGTTCTCAACTCATATTCAATAAATAAAACAATATTTGTGTCTTAATACACAATTAAAAACAGTAGTTAGTTGTATAGAAATTTAACGTTCTTTATCACGTGACTGACATGAAGAGATTAACTACCCCAGACGCAAATCTTACGTTTTTGATACACCTGCACATACTTTTTTGATACTGATCGACATGCAGATCCCGGTAAAAATAAA